AGCTGAGGAGGTATTTAGTCTGACACCACTGAGGGAGGGGGAGGGCTTGGCGTGGGGAGTAACACTTGATAATGGGCTGCAGATCTTAGCACTATTTCTGGGGACTTTTTTTTTCCCCCCGACGGACACAGTCCAGCTGATTTGGGAACCTTTCTTGCCGAGAGGCATGAATAGCTGGGTTGTGTTTGTTCAGCGGCTGCACTTTGGCAGGGATAAAACCCTGGGAACTGCTGCCAAACCTGCACAGCCCCTTCTGTGTTGTGGTTAACCTGTTAACCAACCTCTAGTAGCAGGCATAGAGGAAGAAGCTACGTGAAGATCCTCTATGTTAATTGAAAAGTAATAGGGGAAAAAAAAATCTAGGGAAAAGTTTTCCATGAAACGAGAAAAACAGATATGTAAATGCAGCACCTGTCTTTGAAAGTCAAAGTAGAATTCAGTGAATCAAAGCTGGAAAGGAAGTAAGATATAACTGCTGGTACTGTGTACTTCTAAAGTAACTTTCTAAAGGCTGGCAGGACAAACTACGAGCAAGCAAATAGACCAATTAAGCCTTTGGGAACTGTATTAGAATAAATCCTGAAAACATTATTTTGCCAAGAAAGCAGTAATTTCCTCATGTATCTACATGCTTTATGAGTAAATCCATCCAGAGATACTGAAAATCATGTATTTGACTTTGTAGTTGCCAGTCAGCATCTTAAAAGCATTTCTTGGAGAAAACCTGGTACCTCTTGGACACAGGTTGTAAGACTGCTTCAGAAAATGAAGTTCAGATGAGGCTGGGAAAAGTAGTGGAGCAGAATGAGAAAGAGGCACAGGGTTGCTTCACTGTTGTGATGTGTTACACAGAGCGTGCAAAACAGAAATACCATCTGTCAGCTGGTCCTCATGAGGCACTTGTGCAGTGGTCATCCTGTCTCCTCTTCTGTGCTTCCTCACAAAGTCCAGCTGCTGAATGGTGCTGAAAGTGTTTTGGGGGACCAGCATGGGATAAAACATCTATTTGAGCAAGACTGCATCATGCTGTGACTCTGACATCAATCTACTTTGGATTATTCTTGCTGCACTACGGTATTTTATCAGGCACTTTGTTAACAGAGTAGTAATTTTTCTTAAGTTAAAGGCGCTTATATAAGCAGATATTTGATTTTAACAAGCATGTTGTTACTCTGCTATTTAGGTGATCTTTGGTTTGAAGCAACAGTACACTGTAGAAAAATCCATGTGTATGAGGACCTCCTTTGAAAGTGAGCTTGATGCTTGGTTAGGGAAAAGGCTGATGCTTCTTGAGCAACCCAAACTTCTCCTGCATGCTGAGTCATCCTGAATGCTCAGCTAGAGAAGCAGAACTGCCCTGCTAAGGACAGAAGTGTTGGAAATCAAAAAATAACTCAGGCATACCACGGCAGGAGCTCTGCAGAACACTGCTGACCTGGTGGAGGCACAGCCTGCAAACAGAATGGCAATGGGAGCGAGGAGGGACTTGTGTCAGGGCCACATTTTTCTCCACTTTCCTTTTTTAGGTATTCCTGTATTTTTGCCACCCACTGGCACCGTGGTGGTTTTGCTTTTTTTTTTTTCCTTTTTTTTTTTGAAAGCAGAATATTAATCTGGTCTAATCTGCAGTCTTGGGTTGAGATTTTTTTTCAAACAGTTTTGAATGAGCCGTAGAGTTTGATGTGGAGCAGTGTGAAGTTTTCTTATTATGGAACATTTACATGTGCTCATGCACTGACACCTAAGTCAAAACATGCATTTCCTCTGGAAATTACCTTCCTCTCTTATATGCAAAATACTGTCTTTTTAGGTGTCTAAGGCTATGTAGTTGATCTTCTCTTACTTCCCCCTGAAATTAGATATTCAGGGCGAAAACCAGATGTTTAAATTGGTGAAACTTTGCAGTTGATCAGATGGTCAGATTGGATAGTCTGGACTATCCAAGATGTAAGGACGGGCCTAATGTTGCACCTTAAGGACCCAGAAAGGCAATAGAGCAAGGGGACTGGCAGTGATGTGGGGACTGAGGACTCCCTGTCTATATGAAATATCCAGCAGCCAGGGCTGTGCCACATGAGGGGCCACGGGGATTTTTTTTACACTACAGATGTATGCCCTGAGCATCAGGGTGTTTTTGTGGAACATAGTGCCAGCTGCTGAGAAACTAAGCAAAGGGACACTCCACATAGCCTCAGTCCAATTATGTAGACAGCCACAAAACTTAGTGAGGGGGAAGTGTTGCTATACGGTGACAGCAGACAGATGAGTGTGAAGCAGACAGAATGGGAAGTGAAAGAGCTGCAGTCGCTCTCTTAGGCTTTCCCCCTAGTCTGGGGAACCCAGGTGCATGTTGTACAAACAAATCTATTTTCTTATTTTAAAAAAAACTCACAAATACAAATATATTTAAGTAGTTCACGTGCACTGGTGTTTCCAATAATAGTACTGAAAATAGACAGTAAAATAAAACTGCCACTTGAGAACATTTGCTTTTTAGACCACAGAAGTATTCTGTATGGTGTTACTGTCAGGATTCCTTTTGTACTAACTTAGCTATTATGAGTGGCTTTACGTTTTAGTGGATGAAATAGATTTCACCTATAAAATGAAAATGCTAAGGTTAAAAATATTATAATAATTTTTTAATATTATATGTTAAAAATACTATAACTATGTTCTCAAAAATTTGTCATTAGGACAGCTCACTGTTAACACTAAAAGGGTTTTACATCAAAGAAACAGAAAGCATCACATTGTAGTGAGACTGCAGCATGTCTGGTTGCTAATGAGTAGACAGCAAAGTTGAATGCAGTTTTCATTTACTGTCTCATAAATTGATTTTAGTTTACAGTGCTATAGGCTAGGTCTCCTTAATTTTGTATTTTTGTTTAATTGGATAGCAAGACTTATAATTAGCTTAAATATGTTGTATGCCTTCACTGATGTGAGTTATCGAGCCAGTGAAATTTCACTCCAGTGTGAAGAGTGATCTGCTCATCTTGTGTACTGGGTGGAGGTTTTTTTAGGTAAAACCACCTCAGTGTGAAAGTTGAAGTGGGGAAGATTATATCAGTCTTAATGGTCTATTACATGTGACAAAAATACAGAAAAAATGTGTTCCTTGTATTTGCTGGTTTTTTTCTAGGTGTTAACATGAGAAGTTGAACTAATTTGTGACTGATCTTTTACCGTTCATGTAATCATTTTTGTTTATGATATTATTCTTGCCTAATAAGGTATTTCACAGAAGGCTTTGGAATGTGGCAACTATTAACAGGTGCTGCTTGTAGCAGGAATGAAGGAAAATAGCTCCTAGTACAGCTACTGGACCAAGGCACTTAATGCTTATAATACATTTGTATATGCAGTGAGAGGGGAAATCTGCCCACAACTGCTAACACTTGCAGCTAATACCAGTGCAGCAGAATGCTGTTCTGTTTCATGTTTTCAGCAACAAGTATCATGGTGTTTAATGGAGGTGATTTTGTATGATCTGACAAAATACCTTTGCACCCTGTCTTTCTACCTTTGGCTTCTCGTGATACACCGTGCCTGCTGGCAGACAGCAATGTACTGACAAGCTGATACAGGGCTTAGACTCCACATCAGCTGGTACAAATACTGATTTTGTGAAATGTTTGTGAGCTGTTTCTTCAGATGACATTTTCCTGTTGGTTTGTAAGGCCTCCTTTGTGAGAAGGATACAGCATTCTACTTGTCTTGACTTCCTACTAATTGTAAATGGTTCTGCTCCTAATGAAGGTTACAGGGATATCTTCAGGGCTGTTCAGAGAAAGGGTCTGACAGATATTTGGAAGTAGTCTTTGGTTGAAACTACTATGGAAAATGGTGTTCCATGTTGAACTCAATTATCCTTATGGGGATAAGGACCTTCCTTACTCAAGATACTCTTGTGTTTAAGCTGTGTAAGTTATAGAAGTTGTTTACTTTGGAGGCGGGGGCCCTGTTGTGCCATAATTGTGGAATGTCAGTAGGTAGGTATTACCTCCCATTAACAGTGAGTGAGAGCTTGTACCTAATAGAATTCCTAGGATGCCACTCCAAAAATTTACTCCTGGATAGCCATCCCAGCATAATTTCATTACGGACTGCCTGCTGACTGAGGTTGAAACAGTACTAGGAGGAGCTGTAATTTCTGAAAATGAAAAAGAGCTCTCAGAGGAAAGGGGTGGTCTATCCCTCCCATGTGTCAGTGGGACCAAAGGGGAGGGCGGGAGGGGAATAATGTCTTCAACATAGCCCCAGGAATATTTTGAGGGTTGCAGGGGTGGTTTTTGGTAACCAGTGTTACTAAATATGCTAAAATTCCCCATCTCCCCTCTCAAGTAGTAAAGTTGTGATAAAAGTGTTCAATGCCCCTCACAGAGATGATCCCACACCCATCTGCCTGTAGCAAATGCATCTTTGAACAGGACTGTGGCTGGCTGTGCCTACTGTGGCTTAGCACCAGCAGACCAGCACATTGCAGCCAGTGGGTGGAAGTGGGATGTTTTCTCTGTACTGCTTCCCTGGGATGGTACAAAAGGACACAGAGCAGGACCTAGTTATCGACCCCACAAACTGAGGTTACTCTTCTGTCCACATATCCTTTGGCTCTAGCCAAGAAGGAAGCCTAGTTGGTAAGCTCACCTGCCTCACATATGCAACTTCGTAGTTTTTCACTAACCCTTTCTTTTAGCCTTGATTTTTCCCTGCAGCACACAGGAATATGTAGTATATGTGACAACTGCAAAAATCTGCATGGTATCCAATACCCAAGAGATTAAAAAAAACTAAAGTCGTTATTGAATGCCTCAGTTAATTAAGGGATCTGTGATGTTGGCTTTTGGGATAATCCCTCCTCAGTCTCACTTTGGAAGTCAGCTGCCCAGGTGCAACATCACAAATTCATATAACCCGGTCCAAAAAGAAGAAGCAGTAGGCTATCAGAAGCACAGTAGCAGTTTTAATTCCATGTTCATTGTTATTTTTTCCTTTAGGGTGCCATCTTTCTGCCTGGCAACAGAGTAATTGAGCATCCCTGCAATGAAGAAAGTCCAGGAAAATTCCTTTTTGAAGTTGTTCCAGGTAGGATATTCTACTCCATATGAAAAGTCTTTCAAGTTTGTCCTTAGTGACAAATGGCCACATCTGTTCTGCCAGAACAGAAGATGAAGGTGATTAATGATTCAATTTAAGGAAAAAAATAAATCGGTTAATTTGTTAATACATTCATTCATAATTTTTTCATTCACCCCCAGGCAGCACAGGAAAAGGATGTGTGTTTTATTTGTCAGTGTAAAGCATGATTGTTCACTGCAAGGGGCTGCACCACTGAGTGGCACAGTGACAGTTACAAGTGTGTTTTGTAATTATTTTAGATTATATTGGATGCTATGAAGTAGTGTGTCTTGTGGCAACAAAGGAAGCTGTAACTTAGCATCAGCAGCTTATCACTGTAAGGCCTTAATGACATCAGGACCATCACTTAAGAGTGCTGTCTGGTTGCTGTGGGTGGATAAACAGATTGTAACAACAGGAAGCATTGCTGCTTTGAAACCCTGAACCTATTTTCAGTTATGGGTTTTTGGTTGTTTTTTACCTGGGCTAGACTTGTCTAAAAATCATTGTCCCTAGCAGTCAAGTGGTGCTCTTGATTGAGTTGTATGGCTTAAGTGATTTGCTTACTGTCTTTGCTACTTTCTCTTCTGAAGGGCAGACCTTGGCCTGTTTGGGAGCCTGGTCGACAGATACATGTGGGAGGCAGTCCTGAAGGGCAAAGGAAGTGCCAGGTCCTGCCCTTGGGTCACAACAACCCCATGCAGCACTACAGGCTGAGGGCAGAATGGCTGGAAAGCTGCCTGGCAGAAAAGGACCTGGGGGTGCTGGTCAACAGCGGCTGAACATCAGCCAGCAGTGTGCCAAGAGGGCCAATGACATCCTGTCTTTTATAAGAAATAATGTGACCAGAAGGACCAGGACAGTGATTGTCCTCCTGTACTTGGCAATGGTGAGGCCAGACCTCGAATCCTGTGTTCAGTTCTGGGCCCCTCACTACAAGAAAGACCTTGAGGATCTGAAGTGGGTCCATAGAAGGGCAATGGAGCTGGTGAAGAGTCTGCAGCACAAATCTTATGAGGAGCAGTTGAGGGAACTGGGCTTGTTTAGCCTGGAGAAAAGAGGAGGCCTGGGGAGGACCTTATTGCTCTCTACAACTACCTGAAAGGAGGTTGTACCAAGGTGGGGGTTGGTCTTTTCTCCCAAGTAATAAGCAATAGGACAAGAGGAAACAGCCCCAAGCTGCACTGAGGAGGTTTATACTGGATATTAGGAAAAATTTAGTCACCTAAAGGGTTGTCAAGCATTAGGAGAGACTTGTGAAAAGGAAGTAGGGGAGTCACCACACCTGGAGTTATTTCAAAGATGTGTAGATGTGGTACTTAGGGGCATGCTTTAGTGGTGGATGTTGCAATGTTGGTTTACCAGTTGGACTCGATCTTAAGGGTCTTTTCCAACGTGAATGATTCTTCATTTCCACATCCAGTCAGCACACTCTGTTTATTCAGTCATAGAATCATAGAATCAGCCGGGTTGGAAAGGACCTCTGAGATCATCAAGTCAAACCGTTCTTTTTTTTTTTTGAAAAAAAAAAATTACTTTTTTTTAAATCCAGTCTGGGTTTTCCCCCATTCTGTACTCCGGAAAAGTCCAGTCTGGGTTTCCCCCCATTCCGTACTCCGGCCAAAATTCAGTCTGGGTTTCCCCCCATTCTGTACTCTGGAAAAATCTAGTCTGGGTTTCCCCCCATTCCGTACTCTGGCCAAAATCCAGTCCGGGTTTTCCCCCATTCCGTACTCCGACTGAAATCCAGTCCGGGTTTTCCCCCATTCCATACTCCGGCCAAAATCCAGTCCGGGTTTTCCTCCATTCCATACTCCGGCCAAAATCCAGTCCGGGTTTTTCCCCATTCCGTACTCCGGCCAAAATCCAGTCCGGGTTTTCCCCCACCCCCTCAAAGCAGCCAGGACACCCCAATAGGTGTGATCGCCTCAAGGTGACACCAGAACAGTGTTTTATTTATTGCAACAAACACAGAGGATCATGATGCAATGAATTATTTCCAAAAAATCGGCCATAACCCTTGTAACTATAAAAGCATACAAGGAGTAAATGCAGTATAGCAGCGTGCATCACACACTGGTGTCCATCTCAGATTGGTGTGAAGTAGCCACGTTACTGTATCAGTTTCAGAATGTAGTGGGGATGCAGAAACATGTGTGATGGCTTTTAAGAGAGCCCTAGAGAAGAGTTCTACAAAGAGATCAGTGAAGCAGTACAGCACAAATTTACTCCTGTCATACCAGACTGCTACTCAGTCTACAGCTCAAAGATGTCAAGGGAGCTGGTTTTTTAAAGATAGTTCTACATAAGTGTTTCATTAGCAGAACATACCTCCTCAGCATGTTGGCTAAAGGACAAATTAAACAGCAATAAGGAAGTTATCTTAGTTTAACAAGATTACAACTTAAAAATTAAGAGACTTCAGGTGGAAGTGTGGAAAAGAAACA